TCGATACTAGCTTTCCGATGACATGGGTACACTACATCTTGTTAAATATGCCCTATTATCGCATCAACTCGTCTCATACCTTGCCCTTTTGTCGCTTGCACTTATCACAAGCACCGACCTTTCTCGTAGTCTTGTAAGCAGATCGTTCGGCAGGCGTCATCTTGCGCTTCTTTTTCGGCTGCGTTGCAAATCCATCCACAATACTGAATACGTGTTGTTGGCCAACTCCGATCTGTGGTATGTGGTCATCTAAGTGTACAGGAGAGCGATACGAGCTGCTCCGTGACAGCGAAGGTGAGACGCTTCTTCGATGCGTAAGCGCCGCCAGTTCTTCGACACCTGGCCTAGAAGCATCAAGTGCTGATAGTGCCTGGGTCTCACATGACGTTCCTGTTGTCGACTCTGTTGGTTCATGTTGCATCGACTGCAGTTCGAGCCTCAGGAAATCTATGGCGGCCATATGTTTGCGCTGCCGCAAAGTCTTGCACTGTGGGTACTGTTCTTTCAGGAGCTCGTGCAGGGCATCTGAGTCAACTGGTTGAGTAAATTGCATGCCTGCCCATGGCGGACTCGCGTCGCTCGTAGGCTGTGATCGCTTGATGGGTCTCATTCTTGTTCTCAGCTACGTTCAGTATTAGCGGCATGTAGGCATAAGGATCTTTGTGTGACCATACTTGGAAAGGGTGATCATGATTTGAAGGTCGGGGTTATGATTATGGTGGGTTTCAAGAGGAAACCGGGTGTGTAAGTAGCAGGCCGGTGTGGCCAGGGTGTGTAGAGTCCAGATCCTCAGGCCACGACAAGGTATATAGAGGAGATTCGAATAGTCGCACGGTGTCTAAACACACTCAATTGGTTGTTGGCCGGCCATGACGGCGTCCTGAATAGGCCAAAAGAGCCTACTTGCCGGTACCCGTCCGGGTGTATGTATCGCACTGCCTACAGCAGGCTTGCTCATAATTCGTGCGGGAATCGGCATCGCAAGACACCCTGACCGTGTAACTCTCGTGGCGCCGAGTAGCGGGCGCAGTAAGATGGAGGACTCTCGCTTCCAGAATGAGGCGCGGTCTATTGGTCACAAGAGCTTCAGCCTGCTGTCATCTTGGGCACTCCAACTTCGATATTGGGCAGCGATGCAGACTCTGTGATCAATAGAGATGATGCCCGCTTCTCAATGGTAGTTGCAGTGCTCGTATACATATAGCGTGATTGATGCGTCGTGATGCGTGCGAATCCCGCGGGAACGCCTTGAAAGTCGGGGACGCGTCATGGCCCCGTGAGCTCTAGTCAGCCTTCCAGAGCAATATGGCAATGTAACGTGAGAGCACTGAAAGGATGCGATTGTCGATATCAAGAGTGAGGCATGTAGCTAGTGGCTGGTAGCTGGTGACACGGAGCATGGAACCATCGGAGGCGCTGCAGCCATGGAAGGGACGAAAGGGAAAGATGCACTAGTTCAAAATCGGCTAGCCTCAAATCGAGCAGCAACACACATGACCCCAGGAAGCCTCTTGCCATTTCTTATCCACCACAAGCGTTTGTGGCTTGTTCTTATTCGAATCTGATCAAGCCTCGCATCCCTCATCCAAAGCAACGGCCTACTGTTTCCTGATCATCAGCTCAGCCCATAAAGGTGCGTTAATTCCCGAATGCTCAGGAACACCGAACCAACTTCCTCCATCTACCTTCACCACTGCACACTTCTCCCTGTACTCGCTCTCCGCCGCTGATCCTCGAACGTACCGCAGAGGCAGAGGTCCCTCTTGCCACTTTCCATTCCATTTCTCTTCAACATTCTCAATGCCAGGAAGAACCAGCATGCCTGCAGGTCCAGCAGGCCCAGCGATCTGTATTGCTGGCTCGAGGATAACAGCCTTAGAGTTGAGATGGATGATGAATGAGTGATCGTTGACGAGATTGAAGCCCTGCGCAACGGTGGAATTAGCGGTGTTGATGAGTGGCTCAAGATCTGTCAGTAGAGTCTTGCAAGCCGGTGTGTATCGTATGTCTTGAATAAAGAGGGTGACATTGTTTCCCTGTATCTGCGCTAGGGTTCGGGTAACATCCATAGCTGCGAGGTGTTGGATGAACCCCCGCTCATACGTCGGTCCAGGAAAGAGAGGACCGAGATCGAAGCAAATGACACGGGTCACTGGCTTGATGTTGTGCGCGTTCTGGCGCAGGGTGTGAAGAAGATCGATACGAACGGCGCTTCCTTCCCACTCGTTAGTCCTGCTTTCAAGAAGGGGGCGCATGAATTTCAGCGCCTTGTCGAGAGGAATGGTTTGGACCGCGCTACCCCAGTGGATGTCGAAAAAGAATGGACAGTTTCGTTGCATCTCTTTCATTGACCGGAACTGCAGTGGGCGGAGATGTGGTAGATCCGCACGTCCCTCTGGCATCGCGACAGGATCTTGACAGGCGAGGTCCATGGCGGTATGGGCATTGATCTGTAGAAGGTCTCCGGATCTGAGCTCGAGCTCTGCTGTCGTGCCATTCTGCTCGAGAGTAAGGATTCCTCTGCCGACGTACGAGACTAATGTGAAAGAGATCTTGATGCCATACAAGTCAGTAAGATGTGCTGAACCGTTTAGGCGAAGAGAAGAGTACTGTTGGCGAGCTTCAATCAGTCGCTGTGGTGTATGGATTGGCCTGCCAGCCCCTCCACTGGTCGCGTAGACCCGCGCGAAGTCGAAAGGTTGGCGGTAGGGAAATTCGGGAGAAGCCATTTCTGTCTTCCAATGTTAGCGATGGAGCGGAAAGAGTAGTTAACAAGCAGCGATGCAGCAAAAGAGCTATTTATATTAGTGGTGATCAACAACCTACTCTTGCGAGGCTCCTTCACGTCGAGTAAGTTGAACATTCGGTATCGCTATTGTGTACAATAGCTTTGCGACAATACCTACAGATCGGGTTGCACGACGTACTCACGGTCACAGCCAGTTGTGCACAGACCAGACCACGCTAGGCGCCTTTGTAGAAGTGCGCGTTGTCGGCGCCAGTTTACGGAAGGCTCCGCTGGGCTCAGGCTTAGGTAACTACAGTTCTCAGCACTTGCGAGGCGTGCTTTCTGCTGCATACAGGAGATCGTGTATGTATAATCGAGGCAACGTTGTTGAATCGGTAGATTAGGAAAGAGACTGGGAGGCAACGCCCGAAGACACGATATAGCCTGTCGTACGATCAGTTTCATATTCGCTTTTCAACGGCCGCAGCATCGCCAACCCTATAGCCAAACTTGAGCAAGTCTTGCTCTTCGATTTGGGCTTTCTTCTCCAGTAACTCGTCAACATCCCACGTCGCACCCAGTAACCGGCCATTCAACCACATCCGCTTCTCACCGCTTAGCCACACGCAAAACACGCCACCAAGACCAACATCATCTGTGAGATCTACAAAGTCAGCAAAAAAAATCACGATCATACAGGGATGCACTTACAAGATCGGAAGCTGTCAGGCGTAGTCTTATCCGCCATCTCAGTTTTCACAGCCCCAGGATGCACAGCAACCGCTAGTATACCATCCGCACCGTACTGTTCCGACAAGAATTCGACAAGACGTGCCTGCGCAAATTTCGAGATGCAATACGCAGTATTCGCAATGTGTCCGTTCGTGATGCATGCTGCAAAGGAATTGATGGCTATGAAAGTCTTCGCGCCATCACTCTCCTTCAGTATCGGAATGAAGTAATGCGCAACCAGGTATGTGCCTTGCACATTTACGTCGAACACATCTTGGAAATCTTGCGGATCTCCTTCCTCGACTTTCAGCACGACCGGACCTGAGTACCCCGAGTTGACGATCACAACGTCCAGCCTTTCCACCTCTTCTTTCACATTCCTCGCAAGTTGCGCAACGCTTTCATTGGATGTTATATCGACTTCCAAGCTCTTGATAGATGTCGCAGGGTTGAGATCTTTAGCTTGCTGTGCGACTGCTGCTAGCTCCTGGGCTGAAGACGACCTCGCTGCTAGGATGAGAGACGCGGCACCTGCTTGTGCATATGCGTATGCGATTCCGGCTCCAATGCCGCGAGATGCACCGATGATGAGGACGTTGAGCGGCTTTGGTAACTTGTTGGAGGCTGGGTCTAAGGCGGCGGTCGGTTTCTTGTGTATCGTCTTCGTGAAACCGCTGGCGAGCGTGGTATCTCTTATTCGTTGCGACATGGTCTGTTGCTGAATGAATCGTGGAAAGGACTTGGGTGAAACGTATCGCGACGCGTTCTACATATAAAGGTACGCCTTATCTGGCCTATAGAGGCTGGCTCGAAATGAGTCATTCTGAGCCGACATAATACGTGCCAACTTCTTCTTCTCGTTTTCGCCCGCTTTCGGATATCACATTATGATATGGCGATGAAGTAGAGAAATGGGATACAGTACAACACAAGATGAGATCTTGGGACGGTCGTAGATCTGGCAGCGACCCCGCAGGCGTCGCATCTTACTCAGCACAGAAAGCTTCCAAGGTTCCCAAAGCTTGACTGTGCCTAAGCAACGCGCACTCTCACCCTAACAACATGATGCTGTCAGCGCTTCAGCCTCCAGGATCACCAATAACGTCGATGAGGCCTTCGAACGCGTAGATGGGCATATGACGCGAGGCGCCAACGTACCTAGCGCGACGGGCATGTGGGTCCAGCCTGACGCGTCTGTCACCATGATGAACATTCCTCTTTCGAGCAGACCAGAACACCAACACTCCTTCCCACCACTCTGCAAGCTCAGGTAATACCATACACCAGCATGCGCTGCAGTAGTAAGCTTCAATTCATAAGTCCGGGTCCGCCCTGTAGACGACATCGGGACAAAAGACATCCATAACCATTATTCGGATGCAGCTAGGCAATCGGTGTAGTAAGATACGCGAGCTAGACCTTTGACGACATCGTGATTGAAAATGTGGGTTGTAGGAGCCGCGAGATATAAAGACGCAGCTGCAAGCTGCATTGGCAAGATCGCTCCTCGCATACCACATCGACGGCATCACACCCTGAGATGACACGCACCCTGATTGTCTTCGGCGCCGGACCGGGAATCGGCAACCACGCTGCTGCTGAGTTTGCGTCCAATGGCATTGAACATGTTATTCTTCTGTCGCGCAACGCAGAACGCCTCGAGAAAGAAGATGCACCTTTCGTCCGCAGAGGCAACTCCTCCGTCAGAGTCGACACCTTGCGCATCGATCTTGCGGATACAAAGTCCATCTCAGGTGTACTCAACCAGCTCGACAGCATGACCAAAGGCGAAGATGTGGAAGTCGTGTTCTTCAACGCCGCCCGTATAAAGCCGAACGATGTCCTAGGTGTCAGCGTGCAGGAAATTGAGGAAGACTTCAAAGTAACAACTCCCTCTTCGACAACATTATGTCGGAATAGACGCTGACAGAGATATGTAGACCACGAACCTCGCCCTCTACGTCATAGCACAGCACTATACAACCAGACTCCAGACCCTGGCCAAGTCAAACTCGTTGCTCAATCCCGCTCTTCTCGTTACGAACAGCCACCTGCCATGGGATCCTGTACCGCAACTCCTCTCGCTGAGTTTGGTCAAGGCTTCGCAGAAGAATATGGTGGAGAGCTTCAGTCGTGCGTTCAGTGATAGTGGTGTGCACATAGGGCTTATCTATGTCGAGGGAGTCGTAGCGCCAGAGAATAAGGTGCTGAACCCAAAGACGATTGCGGAGAGGACTGTGAAGTTCTGGGAAGATGGAGAGGGAGTTGGCGTTCACATCAAGGAAGAGTAATGGTAACATGAAAAGCTAGCATGATTGAAGAAATACTGCCATGCCCACTCAGGCGGCTCGCAAAATCTCCTTCAATCCCTCACTCCACCATCATCACATCCTCATCACGCTTACTTTCCTCCGCCCACCCCTCCAATCCTTCCGGAAACATCCGCACCAACACCACAGTCTCTTCCATGAACCTGTTCTTCCGTCAGTCTCTCCTTGCTCCATCAACTCAAACCACCAAGTTTATCAACTAACCTCCGTCTATTCCCAGAATCCTTGGGAAAAAGCGCACAATCATGCAGACAACTCCTCCTACAGACATCAGCACCAAAGCCTCCAGCACACGCGAACCATCAAGCAAGGAAGCGGGGGGGAAAGAACGCACAAATGGTACAGCATAATCCTCGACTCAAAATCCTCTTCCGGGTAGGTAGCAGGTACATGCCGTAGATACTCGTCCCGCTGTTCCTTGCTGAGAGTCCTGAGATCATCTGTAATTTGAATATCAGCTTCTTCCCCTAGTATACCGCCTTGCAACAAACATCTTACATTCCGCATGCCCCCAAAAACAGCCCGGATCAAAAACCACTACCTCCCCTCCCTCTCCAACGCCTACATTGCCCTCCCACACATCCCCGTGGCAGAGTGACGGACTGATCTTCCTTCCGTCCATCTCCATAGGACGTAAAAGCCTGGGCATGACTTTGTCGAATAAAGCGTCGAGTAAGTATTCTGCTTCGACCGCGCGCTTGCCGCCTTCTTTCTCATCGTAATCCAGCATCCTTCTCATGTTGCGCGTGAAGTATTCTTCCCAGGTAGTCGTCCACGTATTATCCTGTGCGAGTTTGCCGTTGTGCGTCGTGGTGTGGTACCCGAAGAACCTTCCTTGCGGCCGACCGCGGTAATTGAGAACGTCGCATTTCTCCGCGCTTTTGGCGTGGAAGAGGGCGAGTTGGTGGGCTAGGAGTTGCATGTCGGAGGGGGTTGGCGGGCGCATGGCTACGAAGTCTGAGACGTAGTAATGGTGCGCCTTGTCTTTTCTCGTATTCTTATCCCCGTATTTGTAAGAGTCGTCGAGAGCTTCTTCTTCTTTCTCAGAGAAAGGGCCGCAGCTGACCCATCTAGTACAGAACCGCGGTGATACGTTTTGCATGTCGGCGGCGGACATGAATTCTCCTTCCAACATACTCCTCCCGTTCTCGCCCTGCGCTATCTTGACGAAGTAACTCTTTCCTGGTCTTTCTGTGTCTTGTTCATCTTCAAATCTTTTCTCATTCTTCTCATTTGGATTTCTACTACTCTCATGCTGAGCCGTAGCATTGTCATGCCGGGTGCCATGGCTAGAAAGGTATCCTAGTCCTGTCAACCCTCTTACGGTGCGAGGAACGGTACTTGGTCGAAGGGGTGTAGAAACGGTGTCGACGCGGAAACAAGTCGTCCAGTGACTAGTTCCGTGAGGAGTAATTTTCGTTATTATTGTGTTTGGGGGAAGGGCAAGAACTGGGTTGCCGGGTTAGACTGAAGTAACTGTGTTATAACTGCTATTGGAAATGTCTCAAGGCTCGCAAGTTAGGTAATGACTGTGTAATGACCGTGTAATGACCGTGTAACGACTGTGGTAACGAAAACGACTAACGCACAATCTTCATGTCTCGTGGATTCTCTTAGGACATCTAGTAGCTTAGATGGCTTGGATTCCGTTCTGTCAAGGGATGCGGACATCTTGGCGGGAGGGGGAATTACAAGCACAAGGAGACTAGGCGGTCACTAGTAGAAAAAAGTATGTTCATGTAGAGGAAGGAAGGAGCGAGGCGACTGCTGTCAAACCTGAATTCTGAATTATGCCGTTCCGTTGACTCAGGTCCTGTTCTGTTCGCAATGGAGCTTGCTGTTCGCCATGCGAACAAAGCAGAGAGACCGTGTCACGAGGCACAGTAAACACCCCACTCTGTCCAAGTCAGCAAACGGCATCATCATTCCCATACCTATGTCAGCAGCGAATTCGACATGCCATTTACCAAGGAACCAAGTTCCGGGTACAAACTTAACATCCATACTCCCCGCTGCATAATCCACCAGCACAGCCAAGGCCCAAGTACCACATGACTTGTAGCTGCAGATGAGACCAGCGCGCTTTGATCCGAGTATATCTTCCTAGCATACTCCTAATACACTCTCCTTTCCATCATCGTGAGCACACACCTCACTCCTTCTCCTCGGAAGAAACATGATCCCAAACACACAGGCAAAAGTTTCAACCCAGAATAGCAACCCCCGAAACAAGCGGGTACGTCACAAAACTTCCCGGGATGTCGAAGCGGAAAGAGGGGAGGGGGCGCGGGAAGAAGCAAGTAGGTACCAGGTGGATATGAATAGCCGAGTCATGGTTGCAGACGGGAAGAAGCAAATATGCCCCAAGTGGGTTGATGTCAGATGGCTAGTCGAGCGAGTTGAGTTTGGAAGAAGCGGGCAGCGGGGGCCAAGCGTAAAACACCGAAAGAAGCATGGAAAGGTATTTAGGTGTGAGGAAAAAGGAAATATGGTAAACAGATAGACATCATCATCGTTGTTACAGAAACCTCATGAAGCGAGTTGTTACAGAAACCGCATGCGAATATAGCTAGGAGGAGTGAATGACGGTGTTCGTTGCGTAGGAAGAAATCGGATGACATTGTTGTTGTTGTTGTTACATATCCATATCCACATCATCGCTAGATAAGCATTCAAACGGCAAAAAATTGTACATTCAGAAAGAACGCAAAAAAGAAGAAGGAAGCTTAAAATTTGCATTGTTGTTCAATCAATCAGTCGGATGGGTGGGTAGGTGGAAGCGAAATGGAGAAGAAACCGCATCTTGACTTGTCAAGAAACACGAAAGGATGGGGTGGGGGGAAATGCTCATCAATACGCCTTGCCTGCCTGTCTGCCTGCCTTTGCACACACATAAACCACCTTTGAACCGAATCTTCTCTCCAGGCTGTCAGAATGATTAATTTCCCCAATGCTACAACCCCGAATTCCCATCCACACCCGAAATATTTCCTACGCCGTTGCTTACTCCTTGAAAACGTGTATATTGGTAGGTATCCAGCCGTTTCTTTCTGTCTCGCTCGCTCTCTTTCTAAAAAAGTAGTAGATTCATCAATGGTGGGAAGAAGCGTTGTTATTGTGATGGTGATGGTGGTGGTAGAAGGGCAAATGATTACGCCTCGATTCCTATATCTCGACGGTCTTGAGGTCTTCCGCCTCGGTGGCAGTGACGGGGCTCTTCAGCGACGAGCGCGCGGGAGCGGCAGCGGCGGGGGCAGCTGGTTTCGTGTCCTTGTTCTCCTTGTCATCTTTGACCTCCTTGTTCTCCTTGTCGCTGCTGAGGCTATCACGCGGTGTGGGGAGGCGGGCAGCAGGGAACTCGTCGCTTGGTCGCGGGGTATCCATGGAGATGAGGTTCTCCTGGGGAGTCGCGGTCTTGGAGTCGAGGTTGGTGTGCACGCGGATGGGCGCTGGGTTCTCTTCTGCGACCCGGGCTAGCGGGCTGGAGAGCTTGCCTCGTGGGCTGACGCCCTTGGGCGGTTTGGATAGGCGGTGGGGGCTTCGGCCGCGGTCTTCGGGGCCCATTACAGGGCTGTGGTAGGGGCTGCTCGCAGTGCTACTGGGGACGACCATACCCGGCGCATTGGGGTTGACGCGCAGACCGCTGTTCGGGCGTCTCTTGGGTGGCCGGCGGCCGTGCTTCTGGTCACACCGCCAGCGGAGGACTTCTAGGTATGGCGGCTCTACGTTCTGGCGCTTGAAAGCTAGCAGCTTCAGTTCGCCCGTCTCCTCGTCCATGGATACGTCTTTCGAGGCGAAGTCATCTGCGACCATGGCCAACAGAGCGCCCCATGAGCGCGCGACAACGTATTTGGTGTCGTAGTCGCGACCGAAAATGATGATCTGGCCCCATTGCCCGTTAGGACCAGGGGCAAGATCAACAGCGAGGTAGTTGCCTCCCCAGTCGCGAGCGAGAGGGATCCATGCGGGGTGGGCGTATGCCTTTTGTACGGCGCCCTGGGGCTGTGAGTCCTGGCGCGCGAGGAGGTCCTGTCGCCAGAGCGGGTTGCCTGTGCTCTGGACCGTGGCAACGGGGGGAGCGGTCGAGGAGCCAGCAAAGGCTTTTACTGGGATCTGCGGTGTGCGGTAGTCGACCTTTGTGGTGAGGTACTCCTCGGCGACCTTCCGCCAGTTCTTCCACTCCATGACAATCTCCTCGCAGTCGAGCAGCATGAGACCGAAGAGGACACCGGTCGGCAGTCCGCCACGCTCCTGGCCGTCGTGAACCTGCAGCGACTCGCGAATGTCCATGGGCAGCGTCGCGTCGAGCTCGTGCTCCAGCTCGTTGACGTCGTTGGATGTGCAGCCCTCACACATGTTGTCGAAGAGCTCCTGGTAGTGGTCCTCGACCCAGCGGTCGATGCGCCGCCACGAGTGGCTGACAGGCGGCGGCGGGGGCAGGCCCTCGTTGAAGTCCTGCATGGGGATCTGGCCGTTGGCGCCCTGGGGGAACGAGTCCGAGTCCATGGTGGCCTGGCGGCTGAGGGAGCCGCGCATGCCGGGCGAGTAGGGGGAGCTGGGGGACATGGGGCCCTTGGGGGAGCCGATGAAGCCATTGCTCGTCGCAAGCTCGTCGTGCTGGTAGGGCGAGTGCAGGTCGGTGCGGGACTCGGCGCCGCTGGCCGTGATGGAGGTGAGGGCGGCGTGGCGGCTCTGGGGGATGGGGATGTGCCGGCCGGTGCGGTAGGGCGAGTCGTGCGAGGCGTGGCGGTCGTACGACGTCATCGTGTGCCAGAAGTCCTTCAAGGACGCCGTGATTCTGCGCTGCTGTTAGCCATCATGTCCAGGTGCGGCGCGGGGGAGCGGCGCCAGTAAGTCCGGGGGCTCGTACTGTTGTGCCATGGCGGTGGTGGTGGGCGAGGGAGCGCGGAACAGCGAAAAGAGCGTGAGGGTGCGCTCTGCGCTGGCGGGCTGTGAGTGTTCCGGGGCTCAGCGAGTGTCGGGCGGCTTGGAGCGCTGGGGGATTGAAGTAACTTGAGCTGCGTCGGCGTGGCAGGAGCTTGGATTGGAATCGAGAAAACGGATTGCAGGTGACGTTAAGGGGTGCCGACACGCCAAGACAAAGCTCGACCGGGATGGCCCTGGACCGATTGACGAGCGTTGAATGCGCACACTGGCCCACTGCTTCAGGACAGGAGCACGCCAAACCGTAGGGTGAATGATTACAAGTCTACAACAGTAGTGTCGTGGTGCGGTCGTGAGGACGCTGGTTGTGTTGTTGTTATGGTTCGTCGCCTGCATAACAAAGCCCTGCAACCACTCAACGCCGCCGCTCCCTCCTCTCCTCACCCTCTCCACCCTCCCCTCTCCGTAGCCAACTTGAACTACCCCCGGCTTTGCGGTCATTAAGTTATTAATAGCGCTTAACACCCCTAGGTATCGCCGTTGCCACCCAGTATCACCACCACCAGACATCACTTCCTTTTACACAACCAACAGCTTGCCGTGGCCAATTCACTCCCTCCCCTAACCCCCATGCGGCCCATTTTGGCCGCCTCACGTCGGCGCCGTTCGTCCAACCGTGGGCCTGTTTCAGACTTGGGCGGCGTCGTGCGCGCCAACTAGAGGCTTTGCCGGGTGGCTTCGCTTGCTTAGCTTGTTATCGCTCCCTTCCCCGTTAGGAGGTGCAGCTGCATCTCTGGCGTCGTCCAGGCGGTGTAAAACGAAACAGAGCCACTTTTATGCTCTCGCCGTGTCTTGGGAAAAACAATCCCACCTCCGACACTCTGCTCCGACACTATGCTCAAACGCGCCAGCTCGGTCAAACGCTTCGGCCACGTACAACAAGCAATTTCTAGCAAGTTCCATAGCTGTAGATAAGGCTGACCGGCGTGGCTTGATGCGCGCCTTGCTATTGCGTCTTCACTCACCAGCTACCGCATCCTTCGACGCAGATAATGCGCTCCCCCCGCTAAGATCTCCAATTTCCGCCATAATCTCCCAAAGGGTCCAGCTAATGTCGGTCCATGATGCGGTCAGCAGAGTTCATGACGTAGACCGATAGTCGGCAAGCACGTATTGCACATGTAAGATTGACGGCCATGCACTGTGTCGAGCGAATGCGAGTGATCAAGTGTAGCCTTGGATTGCGTTTCAGATTAACATGCCGGCGAATTCCGCTACACTGTGATATGTAGCCCTGATTGCGTCGCAGCCTTAGCATCCGTCATGTACTACCAGAGCCCGTCCTTGAACTTTGTACCCCGCCAAGTACCATCTCCTCCACTAGTAAAGCTTCGTATGACACCCCTTCGAATCACATTCTTGCCGCGCAACCGGGAACATGCGTTTGTGCGAAATTCGCCGTGAGCAGCAGCGGGGTGCGGGGGTCTTGTGAGGCTGTTTGCTCATACTCCTATTTTTAGGCCCCGCCCTCTCTCGCCACATCGCATGGTAATCGATGTGGCTATTGTGGATACACTGTTCTTCCTCCATCGCAACCTCTGACCTCGCTGCTCGACCTGCGACGTTCAGTTTGGCTTCGGGGATTTGCCGCACTAGTTGGCCTGATCTACCCCAGAGTCGTATTGCCCGCCGCGTGGGTCGGATACGAGCTGATGCGCGTTGGGTAAGCGACCTTCGTCCCGACCCGGCATGTAGTTGGGAGGCGCGGCTCCGGCTGCTTCTGGCGCCTTTTCGCATCGCTTTGCTCAATTCTAGAAATGCGTTATGCTGATATTTGGGTGAGTGCCGGCATCATGGATAAGATCCTTGATGTCGATGCTGTGTGGAACCGCTCTGCTCGTATAGTCAGACCGTTGCGCTAACCCAATGTCTTGCCCAAAAACTGATTGAGCTCCTCCTGCAGCGGTAGCACAATATTCTCAACTGCAGCTTGAAGGCAGTCGGCATTCTGTAAGCTAGCCATGGGACTGCTGCAATAAGCGATAGCACTCTGGAATGCAGCAGACATTTCCTCAGCCTCTTTGCGCGACCAAGTGTGCACTAACGTAAGCAGTTTCCACTCTTCTGGCACTGGTGAGTTGACGACTCCGTCATCGATCTCAGATTTCTGGTATTTCTCAGCGGTAATGCCGAAATAAAGCTCGAGCAATGCTACAGCTAAAGCAAGTAGTATGTTGTTCTCGAAAGTCATTGGCTTTGGTTTCTTCTCTCCGTCTTTTGGAGTATCGAACAGGCTTGGGGCGAGATATGGACGGGTGACATCGATAGGGCGAGTAGGATCTGACGTTTGGTGAAAGAAAATGTCTTTGGCCGTCCATTTGCTGGCAAGCCATGGTGTTGAGTTGAGATAGAGTATGCTAGACGCCAAGGTCAAGGCTAAGCTATGCCTCTGCCTCTTGCTCAGCTTAGACTTCCTTCCGTTTACTATTGGCGGGCGCTCCAGGAGGGTCTCGAGCGATATCAGTTCTGTACTGGGAATGTATGCGTCTGCGCTGTCAACTGAGTAGGCGCCTCGTAGTTTGCTCTTGCTGTTCAATGAGAAGCCGATAGTCGAAGACGTCTTGTGTAGTTGCTGGATCGATGCACATAAGTCGCTGACTTCTTCGTAAGAGGGTAAGGAACCTGTTGCGGGATCTAAGACTGCGTATGGAGGAAGCGAGCCGAAGCTGACGCTCTTTGTTACCCTGGGTTTGGGAGAAGGCATCGGTGTGAGACAGCCTTCCTCTTCTTCGTCGTCCACATGGAATTCAGCAGCTTGGAACGACCAGGGCGATCCATGACTATCGGACGAGATGGTCGAGAAAGAAACGTTGAAACTTGTTTTCGCCAAATTGTACATTTTGTGATGTCTTGACGCGAATACGCTCTCGCGGGGCTCAAGCTGCAGGCTCGCCGTATGAGAAGACTTGCAGGCGCAAGACCAGCACAAGTTGAGCGACTCATGTAGGATCTTGGCATATCGTTGTAACTTCTGTAAGCGCGTGGCATACGACGGCTTGGTAGCTTTGTGAAACGTCTCGATCTTTTCGCTCTTTTCCGTGAATCTTTCTAGCTGTCGATTGCACTCGTCAAGCTCATCGAGAAGCCCTTTGACGCTCTTTTTGTTCATGGCGAACTTTACGCGCTTGCCGAATTCGAATGTGTCATCAGCCTTCTTAGGATGTGCGGCAAGAATGGCCTCCAGATCATTCCGGGTAAGCTCAGCCGCTTTGTCCAGATCCAATTTGTTTGCAATCTTAGTCATAATCCTCTCGATCTCCGCCATGGTGTTCTGGTAGGATTTGTACGTGTTTTGGAGCTTCTCCTGAAGCGCCGTTTCCTTGCTCTTCCATAGCTCCAGCGAAGCCCTGGGATCAGCTGTCATCTTCAGCCATTCGGCGTCCGTCGTAATGGATCCGAAGAGGATCTGGATGGTTTGATTGAATTGGTCATGCTGAGCTCCAAGCTTTCTGATGAGTTTGGGCAGTTCCTTATCCCATTTCCAGAAGCCCTTGACAGGATCGAGTCCTTCTTTGTAGGACGTTATCGCTAGCACGCGGTCAGCCCGTTGTTGCTACGCATTACTCGCTTCAAGGACGAAATTCACCCTGTATAATTAACGGCAAAGCGCCAAGTACGAGGCCAGCAACCTCAATGCCGCTCATTGTCGCGATTGCCTATTCTTCGAATCAATGGCGATGTCGCGCGTCATTGGTTGGCGAGGGAAGGAGCGAGGGCCGAGCGGGGTTCGGGGCTGTCAGGCAATCACGCGAAGAACACGGCTCCCAGCTAAAGCATAATGACTGCGTTGCGAGCGATAAGGCAGAGGAGACATGAGTTACTCATTTCGCGAGCAACAGGAGTTTACGACAGCAGAAGGTAACACTGCCCGCGAGGCGCCTGAACTGCGCCCCCACTATCCTGAAAGATCCTAGCATCGCAGCCTTCAGGCTGCACGCTGACAACACGAGTGCTGACTAACCGCCTATCATCCCATTGCAGTCGAGGTTATAGTAACAAGAGCATCTGCCTGCTGTCATTTCGTCGGCATCAACGACTCAGTTGGTTTGGGCTACCAGTAGCTCAGCGCATCAACAACCACTCCAGCGTTGGGGTCGTGCGATCGCCGCCGCACTTCAAGGCTCCCCTCGCTTGCGCCTGCTCCGACATGCCGAGCGCCCATAATGTCGACTCTCAGGCTTGCGACAGCTTCCAATGTACGCGCTTTCCAGATACTGACCGAAGCTCTTGACGCAAGCAACGGGAAGTGGTCACAATGGATTGAAAGCGAAACACTCGACGATGAGGTCGGAAGATTCAGAGTGTGGGCTGGCAATCTGGGAGCGTTGCAGAAAGGCCACAGCTCGCTCGACTACAGGCTGCGCGGCTCCCCGGTCTTATTCAGTAGTGCCCTCAGACTACTGAATGAGCTTGAGCAGAATCTGAATGAAACATATGCTATCGTTTCTGAGGCGCGCCTGCCTTATGAACAGCAAACGCCATCGGAGGGTTCTGACGATGATAGCGACCGTGGCTCGTCCAGCGAGGAAGAGGAACACGACTCTGACAGCGACGAACCTAGAAGCGAGTTGCGGATGAGATATGAAGAAATCGTGGATATCATCGACAACCTCTACAAGCTCAGCGTCCGCATCAGGACACCGACAGTACGCTCAAGATCGCTCAAAGCCTCTGCCTACACGCCAGTGGATCCAGAGACTGGTGTGGATATCCTCGGTGTGTACGCTGAACTGGATCGAAAGCATGTTCGAGAGCTACTCTCGCAGCTACGGAAGACGCATCCTGCACAGAATGAGGAAGATGAGGACTTCTTGACTGAGCGGTTGAGCTCTTCTATTACACTGCGTAGGCGGCATTTCAAGTATTGGAAGCGTCGTAAGTTCGACAAGGAATATTGCTGCATCTTGCACAGTCTGACTATGATAGATCGTGATAAGTTGGGCGCTTCCGCAGATTCCGAAGACATAGCAGATGCTGGCAAACCTACAGCGAATGAAGCGCCAGCTCCGATGCGTCATGACACTCTTGAAGCTCACCCAGTACGTACTGTTCCATTAGCTGTCTCCTAACGCACTATTTCGAACCTGATCTAACTTCGGTCTAAGCCTATGCCAACAATCAATACCCCAAAGCCGACCCCGAGTCAAAAGACTGGGAAAACCTTGCTGTCTGGTACGGAGGCGACGCATCATCATCAATCTCTAGACGATATCGTGGACACCAAATCCGTGACGAGCTACGCAGTCACCGTGAAAGATTTAGATGGAAAAGGGATCGATCTACCACCCCCTCCAAAGGCTGCTACCTGCGACAAGGACTTCGAGTGCCCATACTGTTGGATCGTCTGCCCTGCACGATATGGCAAAGGCCGAGCTTGGAAGACTCATCTGCTACAAGACCTACAGCCGTATATTTGTACACACCGGGACTGCGAGAGTTCCGAACTGCTCTTCCGTAGTCGTCGAGAGTGGGCGGAACACGAAGCGACTCATCGCAAGCTATGGCGCTGCCCAGAACATGTGAACGCCTTATACAACACCCAAGCTGGTCTTGAGAATCACCTTCGGCAGGACCATATCGGCAGCTTCCCCGACGACCAGATAGCTATCATGGCCAAGATCGGAGAGACTATAGCCGTGGACTCGCGGGAGAAGTGCCCGATATGTTTTGTGCCTACGGTCACTGAAGGTTTGGGCGACTTGCAGAGCCACATTGCTAACCATTTGGAGCGCCTTGCTACTTTTGCACTGCCTCATGGTAGAGAAGACGACGAAGACGGTGCAAGCAGTGTGGCAAGCCGTGGGAGCTCCAATTCTCAATCCTTACCCGAGTCGATAAGTACCGGTTCAAGCAACGAGATGGTCGCACTCAGCCGAGATCTGGAAACTGAGCAGTCTGTTGAGACGGAGCTCGATGAGGAAGACCGCCTACTGATGCAGTTCAGGGATGAGAACATGCCATGGAAGGAGATCGCAGCGCGCTTCCAGGAAGCCTTCAGCAGGCAGTACGATATACCAACAATGCAGAGGCGCCGTAAGCAATTGGTGGATCGGGCAAACAAGCAATCTCTTGAGTTTGAGTTCAGTGAGAAAGACCGACTGCTGCTACAACTCAAAGATAAAGAGCACATGCCGTGGAAGGACATCGCAGTGCGCTTCTCAGAAGTCTTTGGCACTGATTACCGAAACCGAATACCCGCACTCCAGATGCGTATAAAGCGAGTAAAGGAACAGATTCTTGAGCAGTATCTTGCGTCTGGAATCAGTGGGGAAGACCGCCTGCTACTGCAACTCAGTGCCAAAGATCGCATGCCTTGGGAGGAGATTCAAGCGCTGTTCCGGAAAGCCTTTGGCAAAGAGTACAAAATCACCGCACTCGAGTCTCGGGTGCAGCAACTTTGTGAAGAGATGTCTAAGCAGTCACTCCAACTAACCGAGACCAGCCGAGGTCTGCTGTCCGCAGAGATGCTGCAGCAACTTCCCGACGAGAGCAACAACCGGATGGCGAGGATCTCGAACCAAGTGGACGACCTAGACAACCTGGACGACCTGGACGACTTGGAAGATGAGCAAACCGACAATGAACAGCCTGATGAAAACATATTGCCCGAGCACCAGAAACATCTGGAAGAACGGGAGGCGTTTAGACAACACGTCTCATCGTTACCAGGAGTTCTATCGGTACGATTTTATCGCGGCTACGGCTCATGGACTGGCCTTGTCACGTTCGCCGATGATGTGGTGGGCGAACAAGCAACTGCGCTGTTTGACGCTCAGCGATTTCCCAACGTTGTGTTCAAGAGTAAAAAGAACAAAAGCAAGTGGACATTCACCAGAACTGCTGGCACGAGCAGTAAGTCAATGTCTAGATGAGATTCACGAAAGCTTGCAATGTAAACGGCATACTGACAAACTTTCGCTGTAGAGAAGGACGGCTCCTTCGTCCGCCAGCCAACAGTGGATACACAGACCACGGAAGAAGCCGAGATTCTTCCATTCGGGTCTGACACGTATGACGAAGAAGTTGAAGAATCAAGCAAACAACCAATCATCACGACTGTCGAAATCCCTACGTTACGCTCGCTTTATCAGTCCAGGCGGCTGTTGCAGCGCGATCAGAGCTTTGCGCCAAACGATGCTTACAATCAGATGATCTCGTTCTGTCATTACGACCTAACGAGATTGAGGGTAGATGCCATCGTCAGCAATGCTTCAGGTAACTTCCAAGCCAATCCTGATCCAGATTCTCTGCATCACGCTATCTACAAAGCCGGCGGTTCAGGTCTCAGAGAAGAGGCGAGATCAAAAGCCAAGGTCAAAGTGGGCCAGGTCGAGCTCACACACGGCCACAATCTTCCAAGCTCATGGGTGATTCATGCAGCTGCACCAGGATATACAGGCCGCAAAGGAGTAGGCCAATTCAACGTTCTTTCCGAGTGCTATCGGAGTGCCATGATAATGGCGGCTAACTACGAGTTCAAAACAATCGCTTTTCCTTGCCTGGGTACTGGGGGTTGCATGTTTCCTGCACGTGTCGCTGCACGTATAGCGCTGCAAGAGATCAGGGAATACTTGGATTCACATCCTACACATCGACCTGAGCGAATCATCTTCTGCGTACGGGCAGCAGTCGATGAGAAGGCGTATACCGACTTCTTACCGGTATTCTTCCCACCCACGCATGGAGATCTGGACAGAGCGAGAAGTTCAGACTGGTCCGCGAATCGTGCTGCGCTGGCAGCTCAGGTACTAGAGGCCCGTACGCAACTTCAAAATGCATTGACTGCAATCACCGTTACCTACGACTTTGGCACGCAAAGTACGGTCTGTGCTCACGACATGCGTAGGATCGACTCTACGCTAAGTTCGATCCGCAAACACCTCTTAGGGCCGAAGGAGCTCAAGCGCAGTCTGGGCGACCTCAACTTACTATGCTCCGTCATTCTTACGGCATGTGCTGACATTATGGATATGGCCGAGCGAGCACGTAAACAGGGCCGCGCTGGGAATACGCAGTCTATCTGGACCGAAGCCAACACCGATATACGAGCCAAGCATGGATTCGAGCTTACGAGTGTCTTTGACTACAGCTGGATCTTCGCCAATAGCTTAGAGGAGGTCCTGATACTTGGCAAAGCAGAACCAGATGCGATGGGACGAGCACGTCAGATCCTGGAGACCTATGGTGTCAAGCAGAAGGGCCAAGATGCCGAAGGTATCCGCGATCATCTGGATGAGGTACTGTACGTGCGTGAGGCTGAACGGCCTACCCCCAAAATTCGCGGACTCATCCAAATCCATCAAATACCCCCCGTAGCGAGGCTCTACATACTGGGCCAACTGGAAGAGAAGCCTACAATGGCGAAACCCTCCACTCTATTCAACCACACTGTGTGCCTACTGAGAGAGGACATCACGAGACTGGAGGTCGATATCGTGGTAAACTCAACCGACCCAAGCTTCTCCGGCATGGGTACTCTAGATCGTAGCATCTTCAAGAAAGGAGGAGATGATTTGCGCTCGGAAGTCTCAACCTTTGGCAAATGTGAAGAAGGCGACGTCAAAGCGACTGCCGGATACCTTCTCCCAGCCAAACACATTCTCCACGTCGTTCCGCCTGGAGTGTTTAGGAGCGATACCAAGAACATCTTGAGGTACATCTACCGGGCAATCCTGCACGATGCTGTGCTCATGAGGGCGACTTCCATTGCGATACCGAGTATTGGAACCGGCATGCGGAACTACCCGCGGCGCGACTGCGCGTCGTTGGCGATGGAGGAAGTGAAACGCTTTCTGGAATCTGCTGAGCCTGGTAATGGGCTTGATAAGATCATATTCGTTGTCTTTTCTTCCAATGACGAGTTCGTCTACAAGAGCCTTTTGCCGGTCTACTTTCCGCCAACGAAGGGCAATACGTCGCCTACTATCTTGGCGGAACAGCCTGCGCAGGTCGAGGGAAGCTCTTCTTCGTTGTTTCCTGATACCACAGATGAGCCTTCTTCATCTATCGCTGGAGAAGATACCTCCCACCGTGTCCGATTTGGCAAGCAACCAGTAAAGTCGCGGGCTTGGAAGGACGACGAGGCCAAAGCTTTGATGGACTTCGAACTACATGTCGAAATTTGCGAAGTGTGCAAAGACGGTGTCTTTGAAGATGTTCACAAACTCTGCGAACCCGGCTTCCATTTCGCCAAAGCAGTTCTACAAAGAATGGAGATGTCTGAAAATGCGCTTGTGTATAGCAAAGCGCACGAGCAGGGTTCAAGAGAACATTTGGAGATGCCGGTCGAAAAATTGCCTAGCTCCTGGCTGTTACTTTCCACCGTTGCGAAAGGCGGACGTTATATGTCGGAGAATGCATCTGCTCCAGCCGAAAAGCCCGACACGGCGGACCCTGTCACACCTGTATGGGAACGCCCTTCGGTACCGAACGACCCAGACAATATTGTGCAGGCTACAGAGCAGCCCGCGGTAGTCCGAGTGGAAATTGTGTCCCCACGCACCGATACTGGAGACTGGTTCTACTCATGGGTTCGAGTCTTCAGGAGCAAGATCGAGATGTACTCTGGGGATTATGATCCTGAGCCATACGGAGAATCTACTGGACATACGCCGTATGCGTCCATAGATCTCACCGATACCATCACAAACGTGGACGGCGGCAAAGGCAACATTGTGTCCTTGTGGACAGTACCGCGAGGACCAGACCAGGGAGAAACATGGCATTTCCGTAGCTCTGACGTTGTTGATTCTAATGCGCTTCTCGAACTTTTCAAACGAGCTATCGATCGCGGTAGCCAGGAGCGGGAGAAGAAGATGACAGCGGAGGTTGAGCAGACAACGGACCCGAAAGCGACGATTGCCTCGAAAAGCGGACGAGATGTCCTTGAAGACCCATCTGCTGACGCCAACAAGCCCAGTGCTGCGAAGCTCGACGACCAAGTTCAGAAAGATGACAAGGCGGCCCCCTTTTCGGAAGCAGAAGATGCGAATGTTGTCGCACCAGATGCGGGGCCGCGTGCTGTCATTCGTGTCAAGGTTCTCGAACCACCCAACACTCCAAACTGGACGGATTCCATCCTATATGTCTACAAGAGCAAACTCATCGTGGAGTTTGAGAAGAATGGTCGTTTAGACCAACCATTCGCCACGATAGATCTCAAACATACTAGTTCGGACTTGACACGTGGCACTGATCGCGGCATATTCGACTACTCGAACACAACATGCTTGCGCGTGTGGCATTATGGAACTAACGAAGAGGAAGGATACGAAGGGAGGGGCCCGTGGTACTTTCACAGCAACGAAAGGTCTGATGCGGATGCAGTTTTTGATATGCTTCAACAGGCTATCGATCGTAATAGCATCTTTGGCGGTTGGGGAAGTACAGATCGTAACAGCCGGTCTGGCGATTGGGGGAGTACAGTGCTCAGAGGCTTGGAGAGACGCTTTCCGACACCGCTCATTGCACCAGTTGCACAACCTGAGGACACTGGAGAAGCTCTCGATGCGTTGTATTATCCTGAATGGAACCAAAGGCTGCGCGACATCAAAGATCAGGTAGATGACAAACACCGCACCGGCGAAGACACAGATCCAAAGCACGTCGCGCACGCAGACCCTACATTCAATTCGGGCAGTGCTTCAACCGATTTGGAGCCAGAGTCAGGGGAGCTTCCTCTAGACACACAGATCCTTGCTTACCTTGATGATGATTTTAAGAACCGACCTGGCTCGTACATAGGCCAGAACATCGAGAAGATCGTTTCTGACCTCTGGTCCTGGCGCCCTAGTTCCATCGTTTCTGCTTTGCGAAGGCTAGCTGCCGAAGGAAAAGTTCACAACACTGCTGATGATGAGACATGGGTTATCTCAGAACCTATATCCTGGGATCTTCGGTCTAGCCCAGAAGAACGACCGAAGAAGCCAAAAGATGATCTAACAGATCGGATTTTGCTATGCATGGATCGTGTGGGCGGCAAACACCAGTTTCTTACCATGATCGGTGAGCTTCTGACTACCGCTGATGAATTGTGGCCTGCGCTCCGTGATCTAGCAGCCAACGGACTCGTCTATAGTGAGGCTAGCGGACAGATCTGGGGTCTCACCGGTATGGGCAGGAGTAGGATGAGAGCACACTATTTACAGCAGCAAGCAGCAAGCGCAGAACAAGACATCGCGCTACTTGCTACTGGATCGACTCCTGGCGAGACGTTCCATTCATCTAGCTATTGGCGTGCCTCCGAGGTAGAGGACTTCGAAATCAATGTTGCACATTTTGGTACGGACTGGGCAGCATTGGCGAGCCACATAGGCACAAAGACACCTACTATGGTTAAGAACCATTACCTACTTCTTGTCAAAAATGGCAACCTAGCCTTGGAGCAGTCAGCAAAAGAGGCAGATGCACGAAACGCTCTCGCTTCTCAACAACTTGCTACGGAGTCCCTCAAGTCCATGGAGCAGCCCACGTCAGATGAGGCCAACGCTATTGCTGAAAATCGTGGTGATTCCAACCGGAATGAGGACACATCAAACAACCTAGCCGACCGTGCTTTATCTTACCTGAGAAGCTTGTCTGGAGTGAGCGAAAACATTTCGGATCTCGCATCCAAGTTCGATACCCCAGTCGCTGAGCTTCAACCAATACTCAAACAGTTGAGATCCGATGGGTTGGTGCATAATACGGGGGATAATTCGACTTGGGCTGCGGCAATCTCAACTCGACATTTTCGTCCACGATCGACTCGCATGGATCCCCCACCCCACTCTCCCATCGCAAAGTCAGATGGCTTGCCGCGTTCTGGTGGTGGTGGCTACAACAAGTATCCATGCCCGAACTGGCAAAAGAAAGGTCATCCTTCAATTTACGACTTTGTCAATAAGAAGGATGAGCTGTGCGCTCATTGCATGGACAGTTGGAGAGACGGCAGAGGCGCAAAAGAGAGGAGACAGACCAAGTCCAACAAAGCACTAGCGGATGACATCAGAGAAGACATGGAATCAGGCACAGCGAATAGGTTGAGACGAATGAAGAGTGCAAGGGAAAGGAGACACAAGGAGCCGAGCAAGGCAAAGAAGAACGACATTGACGACGAACTGGAGGACTACGATGGACAGGAAGAGGACTTTGTGGACGAAGAGGTAGCTCGGACGTGATTGGACGTCAGGGGAAACGATGGAATGGCTACTCCGTTTGATAGAGGCATATCTAGGAAAGAATTGGAATCCTAGAGGATGAAGACCTTCCGCTCGCGTGAACCGTGCGCACGCTATGCTTCCGCCTTTTCGCTTTTCTCACGGGAAGTAAGAGCGATCATCGACGATGTACCGATACGCTGTGCAACCCGATGCGCCCAGGATTTTGTGTCACTGCACCTTGACATAGGCCAAGGCAATGGTGATTTACGCAGCGCAGCTACGCAGTGGCTCAATCGCTGGAGCTTTTCCGGCAACGTAAGCGCGATTGACCACTGTCCGGGCTATGCATCTGCTGGTATACTGAATCAGCTATCGGAGGCCATCAAGATGATGCTGCGCTGACCGGGACGCAGTTGCAGAGGAAGGCTGAGTGTGATCCTGGTGACTTTGGCGTGTCGTGATTTGGTTGAGCAGCAGCCACTTTGCCATAGCCTCCGCCCTCGTGCTACCATGAAAGCTGAAGCTGCCAGCGCATAGGTGATCAACAGCCTGCGCACTATGAGGTCACAGAATAGTTGTACTCTCATGGAAATATACCAAAAGGATCCTTGAACGCCCTCTCGCAATGGTCAACTGCGCTACAAGAACAGTCACCTTACTCTGGTATGGACGATGTCATAGGCTTTCTACGGCCCGACGAAATTAGGCTGCTTCTCAATCGCTGCCGTATTTTGAAAACATCAAGGTGATGCAACATTTTTAAGTTTCGAATGACCGGGGTCTCAAAAGAGCTTATCCGTCATAGCCTTGCTGGCAGGCTGCCTTGACCGCAGCATCAGACGCATCAGCGCGAGCGCAGCAGGTAGCATAGCCACCATGTCAAGGAATTACTTAATAGCCTTGTTGCTTCATGAACGTCATTTGTAAGACATATGTGCCGCTGCGCGTGCAAACGAACGATCATCGAACTTTCATCTCTCTATATACACAAACTTCAGGTTCTCCAAAATCCTTCACGTGCTTCTCAGCCTCGTTGAGCCAACTCCAGAGCCTCTTCGCCCTCATCCAAAGCCTAGAACAAGATGGCTGAGGTCGGTGTCATTGCCAGTGCTCTGACTATTGTTGGAGCTGGTCTTACTATCGCCAAGTGGCTCAACACACTCGCCGATGGTCTTGGCTCAGCGGGACAAGCAGTGCGCATGTACGCAGACGACATTCGTCTCTTCTCGGGATTAGTGGATACAGTTCAAGAGATACTAAAAAGAAATGCCAGCCACTCCTGGACCAAAGCGGAGCATCTGACAATGGATATTCTGGACGTGGCCGAGCGTGTGCTGGACCCTACCAAAAAGCTGATAACGAAGATGAACCCATTGTTAGTATCATACAGCGATAGTCCAGCAAAATTGGTACACATTTCCCATCGGCTCCAATGGTTTTTGTCTGGACAAGGCAAATTAATACGCTATCATGGATCGTTACAAACCCTCATGAGCACGCTCAATGGAGCTCTTACGACAATCAAATTGAAGGACAGACCCAACAATGACCCTTAGTGAGTAATCAAATCCAAGTCCGGTTGGCATACTAATTGAGTATTTAGTATCAAAGAACAAGTTGTCCAGTGTATGCAGGAATTGCTCAGATCACTCCATGATCCGAAGCGACTGGAACTTGGCGGTTCCCCACAACCAAGAGTGCATTCACTCCAAACATCAGATATAAGAGCAGCCATCGTGGACGGTCCTTCAGCGGACTGTATGGATCTTCCACCACAAGATCATGTCCCTCGACAAACTACCATGCAGCCCGAATTCACTCCTCCAATCTCCGATCTCGATGAAGAACCTCATCGGAAACACGATGATCCAATTAGCACCGCACGCGTTACTGGAACATCTCAAGCGCTGATAAAAGTCAACTTGGAAGAAGAGGAGTCAGCCAAAGCTTTTGCACATCAAAATACACACGACACTGTCGATTTGGACCAGAAAATCGATGAGGCAATCAATCAGACGTTGAATCAAGAGTCTTACGACACAGAGCAAGACGTGTTGAGGGAACTGAGAGTCGTAACGTGCAAGGTACTCCAGTATGCAGAAGATGAGCTTCGAATGGCCTCTGATACGACATCGCCCGACCCGTCGCCAAACTCCATCTCACATGTTGAACCACTTCCGAATACTACTGCAGAAGACTCTACTGTGTTTCGTTTGAAGACTCCGCATGGGGAAGTGAGTTTCCCCAGCCATATGACTGCAGCTTTCGTTATCAAATCTACACCAGAATCTTTCGAGATTTCACGTGACACTGAAGCTCGCAAAGCAGCATCGTTTGATCCTGGAGCAGCATCGATTGTTCCTGGCGCCAAAAAACGAGTGACTTTCAAAAACTTCGACGGCAAGACCTACACAGCTTCCTATGATGCGGTTCAAGAATGGAATGTAAGTTTGATCATGATACTGCTCGTAATCTTTGCTCACAAAATCAGGACGCAAGATCGTTTTTGCTATCGTTGAACTCTTCCAAGCTCGTCATATATCGCGCTGACGGCGAGCCCATGTCTCTGCCTGAAGTGTTCAGCGAAGGGGAGTTCCAGCTGAAGGGTTCCGACGGACACTACATCGTACCAAGGTATTGGTCGGAGAATGTGCAGCCTGGTTCGACGGTTCAGCTACTGCTCAGCGATAGCGTTTCATGGAAGCCTCAGGTCGTTAAAGGAACTCTGAGACCACATATGTCTTCGAAGGCGGGAGAATCGTCGAGAACTGGAGCACGACAGAACAGCGAAGCGCTATCAGCAGCACGAACGACACCAGCATCGCGTACGTCACCAACACCACGAACGTCACCAGCAATACGGGCCTCATCAATCGTGCGTGCGTCATCAGTAGTAGGGACGTCACCGGCAATGGAGACGCCGCCCGCAGTTGATACGCGATCAACAGCCGAAGTGCCGTCCATGACCCAACAGCTACCCGCAGTCAAAGAGCCATCGATAGCGAATGAGCCAGCAGTGCCCAAAGGCAGTCCCAAGCCTGGAGAGCCCCCAAACGAACTGCTGCTAGGGGTATCCGCAAGTTCACCAGGGTTATCGCCAGCGGAATCGTTGGAAAAGCCCAAGCAGTCGCGGTCATCGAGAGTGCGCAGCTATGTTAGGCGAAAGCGACTGAGTTTGGGTTTTTGAGCAGTCTGGTAAGGGTGAGGTGGTCACCAAACTGCATTTTCATTGTAAGCACAAATCGGGTTTGTAGGCAGCAATGAAATCTTTCTCCCTTCGAGTATTTCTTATCATGTCTCGCATGCTAGCTCTGCGCATCACTCCCCACAAACAGCAACACCCGCCTCCCCCTCCGCAATAGCCCCCATAAAATCGCCCACATCCTCCCCCCTCTCCCCGAGCACAAACTCCAACGTCGCAACCCACGTCTCCCCATTATTCGTGAACCAATCATATTCGGGACACAAGCTCCTCACGTACCCCTCCACCATGCCCTTCAGCGGCGCATGTTCCTTCAAGTAAAGTATCTGAGCCGGATCAAGCTTCATATAGTCCTCGATAACGTAGTAATGTGGGATATCATCGCCCCAGCCTTCCGCGCCTACTTCGTGGGACGGATGGAGCGAGTATTTGGACGCGGCGTAGCGGGAGGTGTATGTGGGTGTGTTGTTGAAGTGGGTGGAGAGGGGGTTTGGCGTGAAAGGGTTGAAGGCTTGCGGGGCGGTGGGTGGGTAGTTGAGGTGGATGTTGAAGAGGAGGGAGTGCTCGTTGCCCGGGTGTCGCTTTTTGAACTTTCGGGCGATGGTGCCGTTGGAGGGGCAGACGTTGCTTTGGACGACTTCGCGGATGACGGCGTGGACGTCGGCGATCTCGGCGAGTTCCCAGGTGCTCCAGTTGTGGAGGAGGGCTGCGCGCTTGAGTAGGACGAGGCGGGATGCGCGGGCTTCGCGTGGGTGGTCGCTGTTGTGGAAGGCGCGGGAGTAGAGCCATATTCTATAGATGGCTCGTCTCACGAGATACCGCTCATCCGTTGTCAGGAGACGCCGGCTTTCGAAGTTGTGCTTCCACTTCTTGAACGGGTAGATGTCGCACCACTTCTCAGCTGTGCGCCCATGCTGCACAATCTGCTTGAGCAGCGCGAGAGAGAAGGGAACGGAGCGGACGATATGTGCAGGCTGGCTTTTGTTGTGGGTCAGGAGTTGAGTGAGGTCTTCTAGCGGACCGAATTGCGTTTCGGCGGCTTTCTCGAGTATGGGTAGTTTCTGGGAGGAAGAATATATGTTGCGGAATCGACGGCAGGTCGCAGATAGAGCTGTCACGTCGTTGACTGAACGGCATGATAGGAAGACCTGCACAACAAGCTCCGTCGCGAGATCTTCGAACAGCATCTTGAAGGTGGTTGTAGGGTAGGGGAGCGATTTGGTGGCTCAATCTCCAGTCAGCAATGAATCCACGTGATGGAAAACACACAGCACAATGTGTACGAATAGCACTCACCTATGATCTTTCAATTTTACGCGTGTCTTAATCCCGCGTTAGGTGCTGAGTTGTCTCTTGTGATAGTGATGCGGATTTCGAATCAATCTCCTCCTCTCTTCACTATCCGTAGACCTCAGTCTCGTATATCGATCTATCGATCTAATCGGTGCGTAGCTATCTCGCCTCTACACCGACACGTATCGCGTGGTTCAAACAAATCGGACCCCTCCGTTGGGGCTATAGGTAGAAAACGCGACGACATTCTGGAAAGACATGGTGCAAGTCAATGCAAGCTCTGGCGAGCTGTCTCTGGAATGGAAGGTCATCGTTAGTGGTTGAGGAGAGGGAAAGGAGTCATCAGTCGTGACGACGGTGGACGTGATGGATGCCGCCAAGGGGGCTAACCCGGATTGTGGGGCCAATCGGCGTGGAGACGGGAGAGCACCGATGGCGTCAATGAGCAGCGCCAGGCATGCCACGCGAAGATACGCATGGCTACACAACATGTCATTGCAAGTCCAATGCCACAGGATAACGA